TCAAAACATGGATTAATATTAAAATAAACCTATAAAAAGAATTATCAACAATTCAAACTTGACTTTTTATCTCCAAATGCTTGTAAATAATTAATTGATATATTAAATATTCTTATTAATTTAGAATATTGGAAAAAAATAATTATATTATATTATTTTTAGTTTGAAAAATGCATTAAATTTAAAATTTGACTTTTAAAAAGGCCTTTTAAATTATATATATTTTTCTCTTATAATTAAATTTATTAATGTCAATGTTATCCAACACATAAATTTCTTTTTATACAAAATGTAATATTTAATTATCTCTTAATAAAGACCTCTTCTCCAAAATCACATAACACCAACAAAAAAAAGTTCTAACTATAATGTTCTTAAGAAAATAGTTTATACAAAACAATGGTCAGATGAATTCTTTGTTAGAGGTGATGAGAGAAGAAAACTGAAGCGTAAGATGGAGGAAACATCTTCTCCTGAAGTTGTAGATTCAGAGTTATTGCTATCTATGAGTCTCGGCAATAACCAAATGGTCGGTGAGTCCTCATCCATGCCCATTTGCAATTCTCCAAAACTAATAGAAAACCCTAATCATCAATTGATTGTGCCAAAGCAACGACAATTCTCATGCAAGTTTTGCAACAAAAAGTTTCCAAGCTCTCAAGCCTTAGGAGGGCATCAAAATGCTCACAGACGTGAAAGAGTTCTCTCAAGGATAGATAGAGAGTTTGATATGGGAACTTTTGGACTTGGTGTTCATATGTACCCTTATTCAACCATGGCTCATCAACACCCTTTTCGTGCTCCGATTCCCTTTTTTTATGAGACTAACATGCACCCTATGACTCAAATGTCACCATGCCATGGCCATTTCTACCTAGCTATGGAAATCAAGGGCTACACACACCTCCACTTCAGGGCAACGATTTGGTATGGCCAACCTTGGAGGCTTAAATGTTGAAGCTCCTCAAAATGTATACCATAGTGGATTAGGATCCATTTCATTTGTAGCCATTCCTTCATGCAAACATTAAATTATACTTTGACTGGATAAACAATACAAGCATGATATGTTTTATTTTAAGCTACTTATTCACAAAAACAGAATGAGTAATTGAAAACCAATAAGCTCATTAATGTAAAAGAATGTATAACAAACAGTCTAAAAAATAATTCTCAACAATTCATGATATATTTTGGTTTTTAATTGATATATTAACCTTGATCTTTGTAGTAATAATTAATTGATATATTAAATATTCCTATTAATTTGGAGTTTGGGAGAAAATTAATTATATTATATTATTTTAGTTTGAAAAATGCATTAAATCTATAATCATTTTAAGTTGACTAAGGATCGACCTTGTGGTTTAGTAGATGTGATTCATATAGGATAAAAAACAACTTATATGCCCACAAATATTTGTAGTTAACATTAACTTCCAAATAATTTAAATAGATGTAAATATCTTTTTACTCATTGCTAAATCAAGGCAATTGTCCTATATATAGGTAGTTGTTATTACCCAATTTAGTGAATTTGATTAAGTTTCAAAATTTTGTATTTTGGTTAGTATGATTGTGTTGAATATTTCACTAAAGTATTTGTTTGTTTTTAAACCATTTTAAAAAAATGAATAATTTGAAACTAAGGTCAAAATGTATTTGAAAACTATTTATTAAATACTTTTATAATTCGAATATTGAAAATTTTAAAAATGTGTTTAACGGATATATGCATAAATGTAGGGGAAATGTAAAACAAATATTTATGGAAGACTCTAGTATGAGTGAACTTGTGTCGTTGGTTATCTCTACATATATATACCTTATTAATTAGTCAAAAGTTTTGTTAAGGAAAAAATGAATTTGAATTCTCTGTATATATTTTTTGTGTTATTCCTATACTGTATCTTTAAAATAAATAAATTAAATTAGTGTACTTTAGTAGTATAACAGATGAAGAATATCATAAAAAAATCTAGCAATGAGTTTGAATTTGATATAATAAGAAACATGAATTATAATTTAAAAGTTTTTTTTATAAATATAAAATACCAATACATTTTAATTGTTTTGTCTTTGAAAACAAATTATTTTAAAGAAAAGGAGAAAGAGAACAAAATCATGCAAGTTATTTTTATATGATGATCTCTACCACTAATACTATAAGTTCTTAGAAATTATCAAATTTAAGTATATCTTAGTGTGTGTTGTAATACTTTTTATTAATACTACAAAATTGTTTATGTTTAATGTAACATTAATATTTTATAATATAGAATTAAATATGTTTTTAATTTATAAAAATTTAAATATAAAATTAAAATTCATTTCAAATTTTGATACATTTTAATTTTCGAAATTTAAAAAATAAATGAATATAATCATTTTAATTTAATGATGTTATTTTTTTGTGTTAAATGACATTTTAAGTTGAAAATGTTAATAGTTTGACAAAAAAAAAATTAACACAATGATTATATTTATTATTTTTAAAGTATAAAGACGAAAATATGTCAAAGTTTGATATACGTATAAATTTTAATTTCATGTATAATTTTAAAGACTAAAAACATAATTAACTTTAATATATATATATA